TATCATTGTTACACATCTGGATATTAAGTAAATATCTCCTTCCAGCTGACCCAAGATTCACATATGGGATAATGACTGGTGGTTACAGTCTGGATGGGCTTGTTGGCTTTTATTTGGGATTAATAGAATCTTTAGTTTACTGATTGAATAATTACTTAGAAACCTTCAGATATATCAGTATAAAGGAATGTGCAGCAGCAGCAGTAGATATGATACCTGGTGCCTGATATCCATCATGGCCACCTCTTAGCTCAGGGCCTGCAAAACAAGCAGCTTCTCCCCACCAGTTTCAACAGGTTTTATAGATGCTCATATAAAACTCTGAACTGCCAGGGAGGTTACTCTTTTTTGGGAAGATGGACTGCAGCTAACTGTTTTACAACTTAAGGTTTTCTAAACAAAAGACATCAATGTACATGAGGTGTCTGTGAAGGCTCTCAGTCATCCAGGTCATCATGCTGTTATCCTTTGTGTCTTCCCTGGTGAACTTGATATTTTTATCCACAGCGTTAATGTGAGCAGTGAAGGACCCAGCAACACACTCAGACAAAAAAAATGGTTCATCCCAAAGTCAGAACTCCAAAACACAAACTTAACAATGTGGTGTATGCTGTACAGTGTAGCGAGGAATGCCCAGACCTCTACATTGGAGAGACCAAAAAGCCACTTCACAAGCGCATGGCACAACATAGAAGAGTCAGCTCAATGGGACAAGACTCAGTGGTCCATCTGCATCTAAAGGACAAAGGTCACTCTTTTGAGGATCCCAATGTTCCCAATTTTGGACAGAGAAGACAGATGGTTTAAAAGAGGAGTGAAAGAATCTATGTTCACTGTGAGCGACCATCTTTGAACAGAGGTGGTGGTTTACGACACCAACTGTCTGCCATCTATAATCCAGTTTTGAGATCCCTTCCCAGACGCCTTAATGCCCACTCACATCCTGGGCCATCTGACCTCAGGAAATCACATAATAGGGTGGGGCTAAATTTCACAATGAGCTCATGTGATTAGGTAGAGGATCATGAGGGGGTCCATTGTCTCTCTCTGGGGATACTCCCACAGGGTTTAAATCTGGGACTCCCCACCATTTGACCCTAGAACTGAAGAAGCTTCTCGGGTGAGAGGTGAAACGTCTTCAAGTAAGTTAAAGAAGTCCAGATGCTTTTCTTTCCAAACTTCTTAGACAACAGGCTCACACCTAGCATAAAAAGCAGTGCATTACATCACACCATGGCCACCTTCATTTTATATTGTTGTTTTTTAGCTATTTGCTAAAAAAGAAACATATGGCATCGTATTATTTTGAAATTGTTGGTTACTTGACCAAAAATACGTGTAATACTTTCTATATGGGCAAAAAAACAACAACTAAGGAAACATAACTAAATGTTACTGAACACCATGAATATTAAAGGCCTCTTGATGAAGGCCTAAATAAAATGCACCCCTTTATAAAATATTACATCTTGTCATGGTCCTGGGTGTTAACCAGTGTTTTGTGTTTGAGTTCTTTTTCTTGATAATTGGTTATTCACAGTTTTGTGCTCTTATTATTAGTTGTTGTTGTTCTGGCGTCTAGTTTCAGACACTGTCTTCCTTGTGTTCCATGTGTCACATTCTTTCAGTCTGTTTCTGTGTCAAGTCTGCATCTTTGTGAATTGTCTCCTGTTTCCTGTTTTATTTTGATAGTCCCAGTCCTACGTGCAGTGAGTCTAGCTTTAATTACCCATGTCTCATTATGTCTAGATTCTTCCAGCTGTGCTTCCCTCCTGAGTCTCAAACCTCGTTTTCCCTCAGTGTATTTAAGCCCTGTGTTTCTCTCAGTCACTGTTGTGTCGTATCCTCTTCATGCTTTGTGTTTCTGTCGTGCTTGTGTTAGTTTCTGA